GATTTTCTCAATATTTAGATTTTTTTGCACCCTCAGATTCCAGATTTTCAAATAGTTGTATCTCGGCCAAATATTGTCCGATCCTAACAAACCATACATCAATGGAAAGCTTATTTATATAAATCTCAATTTCGAAACCTGACCCTTATGACTGGTTTTGTGGTCTAGGGTCACAAATGCATTAGACATATTTTTCATGTTAGTTCATGTTAACTAATGTAGTTAACTAGTGTTAACAATGGAACCTTATTTTCTTTACTTTTACAGTACTTAAGTGTGACGACTGGATGACAATTATACAACACTTATGTTAAATGCACCAATGTCTAAAGAAGCTAAAAGACCGGTCACAAGTAATCTAAAATATAATCGGAAGTAGACAGATAAAGTTAACAAAAATGTGTAATCTCACAAATTCTATTGCTACAATTTCTGTCATGTATTTTTTATTAGTAATTATTGCAATTCATAATTATATCAAATTACATATCACAGCCTTATATAGTATAATGTGCATAAACTACAATGGAAAACCAACAGGCTAATCTGTATTTCTAATCATAATCTAGTCATGCAGAAGAAGCCTTTCCATCTCATGTAGACACCTATAAGGGGACATTTACTCTCAGGAACCAAGCCTTGAACAGTGTTATCAGAAACACAATAACTGTGGTTACATACAGAAAGTAGAAGATCACATCTATTATTGTGGCCACTCTGGTCCAGCTCAGGGATTTCCTCTCTTGTTGGTTCTGATGAGTAGCAGCAGCCTGAAACTCCACGAGGATCTGCTTCAGAACGTCAAGCACATACAGCTGCTCTTCATGCCTGTCTGTAACTGAGTCCGGAGGGCCCTTAGTGTCCTTCACAGCATCTGTGAGAGGAATCATATAAACATAAGATGTTTTTACCAAGGACTGATTTCTTTTCAAGGGCTCATAAAGGAGTGAAATGGATTTACATGTTTCCCTGTCTGCTGCAGTGCTGATATATCGTGGTATAATTGCTGTGTTTTTTTTAAAATTAGAATTAGAAGGGTTAGTTCACCCAAAAATGAAAATTAGCCCATCAATTATTCTCCCTCAAGTCATCCTAGGTGTATATGACTTTCTTCTTTCAGACGAATCAATAACTCCATTCTGCTGTCTGTTGTCGGTGTTTCATTGTCTGAATATGGCGCTTATCACATGCTGTGTGGTATCGGTGTTTGGTATCGGGGCATTTTAACGAGTACGAGTACGGGAGACCAGTATCGGGCCCGATATCGGTGCATCCCTACCTTTAACTATACAAAATTTGCCCTTCATATTCAGATGTTGGGTAAATATTTACCAGAAAGAGCAGATGAGCTTTCCGTTGGTCTTACTGCAGCTGTCTGATTTCCTTTAGCCATCAGAAAATTCACAAGAATGGTCTCCAGAACGCTGATGCCAATGAGAGTGAAAATGACAACACAATAAACCCCTATGAAAACCACAAAAAAGTTAAATATAAATAATAATACAATATATGTATAAAATAATACAATTCAAAATCAAATTTAATCTATTTCATACAACACAGACAAGAAATTCTACATTTTTTTAAGCAAATAATGACGTACTACCATTTCAACTGTGAATCATTTCTCAACCTTTTGTTTTATTTTAAAAGAGTACTAATACATTGAACGACATAGTTGTTATAGCACAAAACGTCAAATATTAAAAGAGGGGTAAGAAGCCCCCCCATGATAAACTTTTACAGAATGTATAAACGATTTTTAGTTCTTGTTGATATTTATATATATATATATATATATATATATATATATTTAAAATGTGCCATTAATGTAAAATACCAAATGGACTATTCAAATGATTTTTTTTTTTACTATTTAGTTGAATAATTGAATAACCAATGACAGACAAAGCAGAATCCCCGTAAAAGAGATTCATCTGAAAGGTAAAATTAGTCTATGACTTAAATATAGGCATATGAATATGTACATATTTAATTGCCCATATTTTAATGAAAGATATGTCATACTAGCAACACTATGAATGCAAATGGAATGGTTTTACACAATAGCCTATAGGTTTTAATGAAAGCGAAGGTGTATGAAATGCACATCTAATTAATGGAGACATTAAGTAATAACCCCATTAATTACAATAAGTATTGCATTTAAAAATAATAACACTAGTAACTACATACCACTTGGGGCTTCTGTGCCCGAGGCTCTAATTTGATCTTTTTACTTCCACATAAAACTATAACTTTTACTCCATAAATCCAAAAACACTGATGTGTCCACAAATCCCTCATTAACAAACAAACACAAAATACTTTTGATATTCAACATAATACAATATCATAAATCACTAATTTACAGAGATGCAAAATTAACCTCAAAATTTTCCACTGACTAAATCTCACAAATATTGATATTCAGATGAAATGACAAAATAGCATAGCCATTTACTTCAAAATGCTGAGATGAAATTTTGTGCTATCTACAGTCAAGAGAAAAAAATCTAACCCCATCTTACCCTGTGTATTATGAACTGCTCTAGATAATCAGTACAGTAGATAAGCTCTCACCAATCAGTGGAATATCACTGGAAGTAGAGGGCAGCATGTCTTGGAGAAGCAGCAGTAACACAGAAATAGCCAGAAGCAGAGTTATTTTAAAACCCAACTTCTCTCCTCCACTTGAATCGATGAAGAAGGAGGCCAAATCCAGAATAAGGAAGTAAAATACTGGCATTAGAAAGTTAATGACATACAGTAAAGGTCTCCTCTTCATGGTGATCTGCAAGTAAGAAGAGAAACTTCTTTAATTGCTTCGTCAGAGCAGCTTTTGTCACAATATCTGATCCCAGTATCTCAGCTGTAGGGTTGTACATCAAATGCACAATTACTGAATTGTTTTCTCTAGGACAATAGGATAATATTTGGTCGAGATACAACTATTTGAAAATCTGGAATCTGAGGGTGCAAAAAAAATTTAAATATTGAGAAAATCATCTTTAAAGTTGTCCAAATGAAGTTCTTAGCAATGCATATTACTAATCAAACATTAAGTTTTGATATATTTACAGTAGGACATTTACAAAATATCTTCATGGAACATGATCTTTACTTAATATCCTTATGATTTTTGGCATAAAAGAAAAATCTATAATTTTGACCCATACCATGTATTTTTGGCTATTGCTACAAATATACCCCAGCGACTTAAGACTGCTTTTGTGCTCCAGGCTCACATTTAGTAACAGCCATTGGATAATACATCAACTACATAGTGAAGGGAAATTTGAACTGAAAGGTTCCCTTGTGAAAAAGAAGTACAATGTACAGTACTTATTAAAAAAGAGTACTTATTATTGAAATAATACACTTTCAAATAATATTCTACTGAGTGCAATGTTTTCTGACACTGACTGCATGTTATTTACAATTAATTGAAAATCTAGTACAGTTTACATTTATATTGAATGCTGAGAGTACTTATTATTGAAATAATATTCTACTGAGTGCAATGTTTTCTGACACTTAACGGCATGTTATTTACAATTAATTGAAAATGTATTACAGTTTAAATTTATATTGAATGCTGAACTTTAGGGTTTGGACCCATTTATGTCAAGACTGAAGTACATTTTTTTTTTTTATTATTATTATATCTATTGTCTTTGAAATATGGTTAAAGTGAACTGCTGAATGCACAGACAAGCATTTATGACAAACTAAAATACACTTCAATGTCACTTCAATTGAAATGTGTGTGTCATGTGTTTAAAGACACCGTAATTTATTTCTGAAATATATTAACTTTTAATATAAATATACGAAAACACGCTACAATCTAGTACAGTTTACATTTATATTGAATGCTGAACTTTAGGGTTTGGACCCATTAATGTCGGACTGAAGTACATCTTTTTTATTATTATTATTATTATTATTATTATTATATCTATTGTCTTTGAAATATGGTTAAAGTGAACTGCTGAATGCACAGACAAGCATTTATGACAAACTAAAATACACTTCAATGTCACTTCAATTGAAATGTGTGTGTCATGTGTTTAAAGACACCGTAATTTATTTCTGAAATATATTAACTTTTAATATAAATATACGAAAACACGCTACAAGTAAAATTATAATGAAGTACTTTACATGTGCTTTAGCATGTTAGTCAACACATCAAAATAAGAGTGCGTCTTTAAAGCACAACGAAAGTTTATTAAAACATAATGATTTAAAATGTACTTTTAATCTGACGTTATTACAAAGTGCACTTTTTTAAAAGTGTGTTAAGACACAAAGAAACACAGTCCTGAAAGTGTCTCCCTTTAGGTACACTTACGTGTCCTTTTATTTCATTAATATTAAAAGCTTTAATGATATTTCGTTGAAAAGCCTATAAGCTGTTCCTATTGTCACAACTTGCCTTACATACTACATGCAATATGGTGAGAGCATGATGCCTCGCTATTGTGTGTTCAATTAACTGATTTATTTTTTTTTTATTCAGTGATTGTCCAAATTTACATTACACTTGGATGCATGTTTTTAGATTTTTATTCTTACTGAAGTGGCTTAACAGTGATATCTGTAATCTGTAACACAAATAATCTGTAAAGACGAAGTATCTACCTCTAAGATTTTCAAATGGTTCTAGCAGTGTTCATCTACAGTATAGAGGCATTACTGTACCTTATATATCAGCTGATCCTGTAGTACTCCTAGAGTAGAGGCATTGGCTTTAGACATATTTATACTGAGGAATTCCCACTCTCCCTGAGTCTGAAAGGCCTGCTTGGAGCTGAGGGTCAGGAATGATGCGCCAGAGAACGGGCTGATTATGAGCTCCTCGACTGAGAAAACACAACAACAAAAGCCCAACAGACATTACAATGACTGAATGCCAAAACTCCAGCAGGTGAAATATGAGTTGGGGTTGTGCACCAATAGGCATATTTAGTCAAAATGCATGATGCTTTTGATCTTTATGATGTTTGTGATCTGAATTGTAATATTGCTCCTCCTGTCATTCAAATTCAAATACAAATACAGCATCTTGTTGGGTGTAAAATAATTAATTTTCACTTTCATGAACTGAATTCTTCAGTTTGGAATTTTGCCCAACCCTGATTTCCGAGTTTCAAATATACTTGAATGGATTGGAGACTGAAAGCTAAAAGTGCAGCTTTGGACGTCGAAGGGAAACTGGTGCAGGTTCATCTTGCAGGCCGTGGTCACAGCAAAAGTGTTAGACGTCACAATAGCGCCTTGATTCAGCAACTGGACATACTGATTTTCCTTTGTTGCAAACTCAGTCTTGATGCTGAACAGACAAAACAAAGCAACAAAAGTAAACTTTAAAGCGATAGTTTACATCAAAAATGAAACTTCATCATTTACTCGATCACCCTCATGTCGCTCAAAACTCATAAGACTTTTATTCATTTTCGAAACACAAACATATTTTCAATGAAACCATAGAGATTTCTGTCCCTCCACTGAAAGTTTAAACCACCAAAACGTTTACACGGTTTATGAAGAAAATTGTAAAAGAAATCCATATGAATCGAGCGGTTCAGTCTTAAACGGACCGCTGTGATAAGTGTCAAAACTGGATTGGTGCATTCAGCGGATGAGAGCTTGACCGACGTGGCCTGCCTGAACTAACGCCATGCTTCATTTTTGGATGAACAATTGCTTTAAACACTTCTATATGGAAGCCCGTTTCCGCCACTGAATAAAAAAAAAAATTGCGACTTTTTATCTAACAATTCTGACTTTTTTTCTCAGAATTGCGTGATATAAACTCACAATTGCGAGTTAAATAGTCAATTGCGTGATATAAACTCACAATTGCGAGTTAAATAGTCAATTGCGTGGTATAAACTCACAATTGCGAGTTAAATAGTCAGAATTGCGTGATATAAACTCACAGTTGCGAGTTAAATAGTCAGAATTGCGTGATATAAACTCGTAATTGCGAGTTAAATAATCAATTGCGTGATATAAACTCACAATTGCGAGTTAAATAGTCAGAATTGCGTGGTATAAACTCACAATTGTGAGTTATAAAGTCAGAATTGCGTGGTATAAACTCACAATTGTGAGTTATAAAGTCAGAATTGCGTGGTATAAACTCACAATTGTGAGTTATAAAGTCAGAATTGCGTGGTATAAACTCACAATTGTGAGTTATAAAGTCAGAATTGCGTGGTATAAACTCACAATTGTGAGTTATAAAGTCAGAATTGCGTGGTATAAACTCACAATTGTGAGTTATAAAGTCAGAATTGCGTGGTATAAACTCACAATTGTGAGTTATAAAGTCAGAATTGCGTGGTATAAACTCACAATTGTGAGTTATAAAGTCAGAATTGCGTGGTATAAACTCACAATTGTGAGTTATAAAGTCAGAATTGCGTGGTATAAACTCACAATTGTGAGTTATAAAGTCAGAATTGCGTGGTATAAACTCACAATTGTGAGTTATAAAGTCAGAATTGCGTGGTATAAACTCACAATTGTGAGTTATAAAGTCAGAATTGCGTGGTATAAACTCACAATTGTGAGTTATAAAGTCAGAATTGCGTGGTATAAACTCACAATTGTGAGTTATAAAGTCAGAATTGCGTGGTATAAACTCACAATTGTGAGTTATAAAGTCAGAATTGCGTGGTATAAACTCACAATTGTGAGTTATAAAGTCAGAATTGCGTGGTATAAACTCACAATTGTGAGTTATAAAGTCAGAATTGCGTGGTATAAACTCACAATTGTGAGTTATAAAGTCAGAATTGCGTGGTATAAACTCACAATTGTGAGTTATAAAGTCAGAATTGCGTGGTATAAACTCACAATTGTGAGTTATAAAGTCAGAATTGCGTGGTATAAACTCACAATTGTGAGTTATAAAGTCAGAATTGCGTGGTATAAACTCACAATTGTGAGTTATAAAGTCAGAATTGCGTGGTATAAACTCACAATTGTGAGTTATAAAGTCAGAATTGCGTGGTATAAACTCACAATTGTGAGTTATAAAGTCAGAATTGCGTGGTATAAACTCACAATTGTGAGTTATAAAGTCAGAATTGCGTGGTATAAACTCACAATTGTGAGTTATAAAGTCAGAATTGCGTGGTATAAACTCACAATTGTGAGTTATAAAGTCAGAATTGCGTGGTATAAACTCACAATTGTGAGTTATAAAGTCAGAATTGCGTGGTATAAACTCACAATTGTGAGTTATAAAGTCAGAATTGCGTGGTATAAACTCACAATTGTGAGTTATAAAGTCAGAATTGCGTGGTATAAACTCACAATTGTGAGTTATAAAGTCAGAATTGCGTGGTATAAACTCACAATTGTGAGTTATAAAGTCAGAATTGCGTGGTATAAACTCACAATTGTGAGTTATAAAGTCAGAATTGCGTGGTATAAACTCACAATTGTGAGTTATAAAGTCAGAATTGCGTGGTATAAACTCACAATTGTGAGTTATAAAGTCAGAATTGCGTGGTATAAACTCACAATTGTGAGTTATAAAGTCAGAATTGCGTGGTATAAACTCACAATTGTGAGTTATAAAGTCAGAATTGCGTGGTATAAACTCACAATTGTGAGTTATAAAGTCAGAATTGCGTGGTATAAACTCACAATTGTGAGTTATAAAGTCAGAATTGCGTGGTATAAACTCACAATTGTGAGTTATAAAGTCAGAATTGCGTGGTATAAACTCACAATTGTGAGTTATAAAGTCAGAATTGCGTGATATAAACTCACAATTCTGACTTTTTTTTCTCAGAAATGTGAGATATAAACTCGCAATTCTGAGAACATATCAGTCCGTCCCCCGTCCCCCTCAAAATTGGACTTTAAATCACAATTGCGAGTTATAAAGTCACAATTCTGAGGAAAAAAGTCAGAATTGCGAGAAAAAAAGTCAGAATTTTATCTCGCAATTGCAAGTTTATATCTCACAATTCTGTGAAAAAAAGTCAGAATTGTGGGATGAAAAGTCGCAATTACCTTTTTTTTATTTTTTATGATTTTTATATATGGATTTATTTATAAATACACTGTATATATTTAATATTTTTATTTTATATTTATTATTTTTATTTTATTTTTAATTGTGGTTTTAATTATTTTCCGCCATCCTCCAGCCCAACTGCTACCATGTGTTCACTAATCTGTGTGATTAGACTAAAATGATCAGGGGTTTTGTTAAAGGATTAGTTCACTTTCAAATTAAAACTTCCTGATAATTTATTCACCCCCATGTCATCCAAGATGTTTACGTCGTTCTTTCTTCAGTCGAAAAGAAATTAAGGTTTTTGATGAAAACATTCCAGGATTATTCTCCTTATAGTGGACTTCAAAGGCTGAATAGTCAGAATTGCGTGATATAAACTCGCAATTGCGAGACAATGTCGCAATTCTGAGAAATAAAGTCAGAACTGCGAGATATAAACTCAGCGATCGGTCATTTCCTAAAAATAAAAATACAAATAAAATTACAATTATATACTTTTTAACCTCAAACGCTCTTCTTGTGTAGCTCTGCTTGAACTCTGTGCATTCCGGTTCATGACAGTAAGGGAATGTCGAAAAACTCCCATCTCATTTTCTCCTCCAACTTCAAAATCGTCCTAATTCGCCCTACATCGCTGTTTTACCTTTTTTTATAAAGGGCGTTTGACCTTCTTTGCATGTTCACTTTGTAAACACAGGGTCGGTACTTCTGCAGCGATGTAGGACGATTTTGAAGTTGCAGGAGAAAATGAGATGTCATTTTTTTTTAGAAAATAACCGATCATTTCGCTAGATAAGACCCTTCTTCCTCGGCTGGGATCATTTAGAGCCCTTTGAAGCTGCATTTTGGTAGTTCAAACTCGGGGGCACCATAGAAGTCCATTATATGGATGCACAGAGTACGCATGCGCATTGCAGAGCTACACAAGACCAGCGTTTAAGGTTAAAAAAGTATATACATTTTTATTTTATTTTTTAGAAAATGACCGATCGTTTCGCTAGATAAGACCCTTATTCCTCGTCTGGTATCATGTAGAGCCCTTTGAAGCTGCACTGAAACTGTAATTTTGACCTTGGCTTCAACAGTTTGGTAGCCGCTGAAGTCCACTATAAGGAGAATAATCCTGGAATGTTTTCATCAAAAACCTTAATTTCTTTTCGACTGAAGAAGGAAGGACGTAAACATCTTGGATGACATGGGGGTGAGTAAATTATCAGGAAATTTTAATTTGAAAGTGAACTAATCCTTTAAAAGCAGACTAGCAGATCTCTCCTAACTTTGTGATGTGCAGAGCTGTAGGTGCTACACACAGCCAGAAAGTGCTCAAGACGGGCCAGTTCGTGAACACTCAATAGGCACTGCTGATGTAAAATTGCAGGCAGTTGTCAATATATGGGGATTATGATGTCAGAATCTTCTTGCATCGTCTTCATGTTACAATAAAACGCTCTTTTTGGACTGGTAACGTAAGTTTTTCCTGAATGTTTTCGTAATACAAAGAACTCTTTTAACACAAAAGACCAAGGAATTCTTCATGATATGAACCCTTTCCATTTTTACACGTTTTCTACGAGTAACAAACCATTCGGATTTACACTACAAAAAAAAAAAAAAAAAAAAACCTTTTCGAGTCCAAACCATGTCCTTTTTAATTGGACAAAATTTGATTCCACAGAAGTCATCTGGGTCCCATTTTGTGAACTCACTGAACCAACCCTGCAAAGTTATGATCATTTAACAGTGATTTATAGTGGTCAATGCTCTTTTTCCTCCTTAGAATCATAACCATTTTTCTTACAAATAATATACACAAACCTTTTCAATAGGTTTCAATTTGACATAAAATAATGAGACCTTTCAATGTGTTGCTTCGGTTAGTCAGTTAAGAAGTTACTGGTTACAAATGTAGTATAATTTGGCCTATTAATCAGCTATTATTATTTCCAGATAAAACTTCTGATTGTACAAGTTGTGTAAAGCTTTGTGTGAAAAGGTTTTGAAAACACTTGCATGCACAATTGTGACTTGTGTTGAGAGGATCTGGGCTTTTTCATCCTGTAGAAAGAAAGAGGTGTTGAGTGGAGATACTACAGCTGCTTGACATCCTGTGTCGTGGCATTCGGTTAAACCATGCTGGATTTACCACTTCTGTGATGGAGGTCACAAACAGGTCTGTATAAACAAAGGTAGGGGTTTTCCACTTAAACACGGGCCGCAGGGACGTCATCTGAATGTCATCATTATTGCCCAAGCCGAGATGTTCGATAAGCGCCTTGTAGCTGCAGTTTCCAGCAGCAGACGCCGACCCTGCACAGAAAATGCAACTATCCATATAACTGTTTGTAGTGACCCTTGTGAAAAAGAAGTACACTTTAGCATACTTCTGAAAAGAGTACGGAAATAATGTAATTAAGTATGAAATGAATGACGCTTAGAAATGCATGTTAATTGAAATTAAGTAAAATTGATATTAAATGCAGATTGTTGAATTTTAGAATGTTTTTGACCCACTTAAGAAGGACTTAAGTACATAGTTTTATGTAATTTCATAATATATAGTTGAAAAATATAGTTGAAATATGTCACCCTGGACCACAAAACCAGTCATAAGGGTCAATTTCTCGAAATTGAGATGTATGCATCATCTGAAAGCTGAATAAATAATCTTTCCATTTATGTATGGTTTGTTAGGATCGGACAATATTTGGTCGAGATACAACTATTTGAAAATCTGGAATCTGAGGGTGCAAAAAAATCAAAATATTGAGAAAATCATCTTTAAAGTTGTTCAAATGAAGTTCTTAGCAATGCATATTACTAATCAAAAATTAAGTTTTGATATATTTACGGTAGGAGATTTACAAAATATCTTCATGGAACATGCTCTTTACTTAATATCCTAATGATTTTTGGCATAAAAGAAAAATCGATAATTTTGACCCATACAATGTATTTTTGGCTATTGCTACAAATATACCCCAGCGACTTAAGACTGCTTTTGTGCTGCAGGGTCACAAATGTTAAGTGTACTGAAACTACTTTAATATTTATTAACATTTAAATTTCTATTGAAACTAGTGTAATGTATTTAAATATATTTGTGATTACACACTTCTGATGAATTTGCAATTTAGCACATTTGAAATATATTAACTTTATTGCAATATTGAGTAACACTACAGATAAATTATAATCACGTACTTCACATGTGCTTTATGCTAGTCAACACATCAAAATAAGCGTACCTTAAAGCATGACAAAAGATTATTAAAACATGATTTAATGACTTTAAAGTTAAACATTTAATTAAAAAGTTTACTTTTTAAAAGTGTACTTAAGTGTGTTTAAAAAATGTCTTGAAAATGAAAATAGTGCCTTTCTTTAAGTACACTTAAGTGGTCTTTTATTTCATTATATTATCTGAAAGCACAGGGTTTTTTAAAATATGCTCTTAAATGTGCAAGTGCACATTAAACACAATTAAGCACTTCTTTCACAAGCATAGATAGCAAAGGAAAATATGACCCAGACAACACTCATCAACAGACTTTACAGCTGGACATTTAAAACACACTTACCGACTGAGGCAAGATAAAATATTAGCCACCTTAGATGCATGGCAAAAGGTCAGATAGAGATTCAGCACTGAACAGCATTGACTGTCATTTGGGCACATTTATATAGTGCAAATGAGAACCATGTCCAACCTCCTCTTTTGTTCTTAGTTTAACCACGATTGTGTGCAGCAAAAAGGGAAAAAAAACTATACAAAGAGCTGATGTCATTCATATGTCATTAATATACATGCTTTGTCTGATGTGCTGTTTGCCATTTGGTTTATGTCCTCCTCATGCCTGATAAAGTGTGAGTGTGTCTCACTTTTCTCATTTGTGACCCTGGAGCACAAAAGCAGTCTTAAGTCGCTGGGGTATATTTGTAGCAATAGCCAAAAATACATTGTATGGGTCAAAATTATCGATTTTTCTTTTATGCCAAAAATCATTAGGATATTAAGTAAAGATGATGTTCCATGAAGATATTTAGTAAATTTCCTAC